TTTTAGTAGAAAAGGTGAGGTGGAGGTAGATGATGCTAGCTGAGCTTAGAGGTAATTTGCACCTCCAAAGAAGTGGAATTATATCAGTATAAGAAAGAAACAAATAGCATCGGAAAGATGGAGGATGGCCTCTCAAAACATACCTCCCCTCAAAATACGGTTCTCTACCTGCTAGGAGGATCGCGCACACTTAATTCAAATTTGTTGTAACTATTACACTGACTTTAACCTTGAATTACGAAGCTCAGTCATCAAGTGGTTAGCATTATTGTAACTTGGGTATTCAATGAATGACCTGATGCTATGTCATCTTTTGGTGAGTTCCGGAATAAACTCCACTAATTTTTGTTTAGACAAGAAGGAGGATTGCTTCAATCCCGTTCACCGTTTAAACTGGTAGCCAAGATCTCATCTGCGCTATTTGATTGTCTCCACTAAATATTACCTGACTAGCAGCGCGGTTCCACTCACCACCTGCCTCACTTCATCTTTCGCATACTTTGTTTAACTTGAAAAAATGGTATGTTGACATCAAAATCTCTTGTTTGCAGCTCGGAATGAGCAATGTAACATAACATAACTACAAAAAAAGGCTGCTGCTAAACTCGTAGGACGAAGTTATTGTCGACGACATGATCCCTGCATAAAACCTCGTTTATTTAAATGCAGAATCGCAAAGCATTAAGGTTCGTTTTAAAAGTAATCAGGGTAATAAGAAACCATCTGTATTGTAGGATGCCTATTCCCTAGGTGACTTGCAGTTCTTTTGAAAGTAGCAAAAATATCCATAAAGTGAATTGGCCTCTTTTTAAAAAGGTGCGTATACACCAGGGAATACCCTCACTTCGCATTAGGCAAATGAAAAATATGAAAATTGCAGCTAACAGGTTCGTTTGATTGCTACAATGCTCGCTATCTCGAAAGGCACAAACAAATAACATTAGAGGAACTTTGAAGCTTTGGTCTGAGCGATCTGCCCATGAATTTTTAAGTGCAGATTTCAGTTTCCGGACATTCGTTTGAATGAGCAATTGAGCACCTTATCATCTCCATGGCCTTGGGCAACTCCGGTACTGTCGTTGACAATAACAAGACAAATCTATGAAGGAGAAAGTTATTTGCATTTAAGGGATACGCAATGCAATGTTTGTTTGTTGAAATGTACCTTTTTGGCGAGAAATAGTCAGTAAATAGGGATCTCGTGAAGGATGGACCCCATCGGCCCCTGGGCAGGAGAAAACGTACTCTGATGTCTGTACCCCTACCTAATTTATCGCCGCCCAAGAAATCACGTCCCCCAACCCAACTCCTCTGCTCATTTTAAGGGTACGAAGGCGGAGGTGGAGGGGTGAAACGCTAAGCCTATTACAGAAAGCCCTTGTTAAGCCTTAATTTATCTGTTCCATGGCCATTAACAGCAGAGATTCTCCTGTGCACTGCCGCGATAAGCATCACTATCCACCACTATCAAGAACCACTTCACTGTATTCTTAACCATCAAGTTGATAGAATCGAATGATATCGTATTGACATTAAAATTACTTATTTTCAGTCAGAAATGTGTTGACCGGGGTTATTCAGCAATTTTGTTAATACCCTTGCCAAGCTTCAATTAATCTGCAGTAGACAAGGGCTTCTTTCGAGCCCGCAGAACGAGTGGAACATAGGAATGAGGCTAAAAAATGATGTTTGTATTTCAGCTTAGAAAAATATTAAAATTCAGGGTCCCCCTTTTACTGTTTAAGATGATGAGCGGCAACATTTTAGAAGTTAAAAGTCCTCATCCTAATTTCAAGAAACGAGGTTCTTCAAAATTTGGGGAATGCAGCCATTTTCAAATACCTCATTTTGTATAAACAAAGATATAAAATTGCTTAAAACACAACCGATAAACCCCATATTTTATGGTGCATTTGTGATTATCACTCCAGTAAACCAGCATCGGATTCTGTCGCTGTCACAAATAGCTCTCTTTGCCGTGTAATTCTTGAAAGTCAACTGATTTGATGCTCTCAACTGACCTTCAAGCTCTGTTTGTAGTATTTGTGAAAATGGAATTCCGGAGATTAATTGGTACACATTTTGGAGTAGTTTTGAGGATCCACCTGAAGGCATTCGCTCTGTTACTGCTAACAATTGCACCAACCTGTCAAGGTGAGTGACATTCAATCCCTTCCTGTCAGCATTTGAGGGTGGTAAAATGAAATCTACTTTAGAGTAAATCTTCCATAACCACTTCTTATAAGCACTTTGTTGCTTTTCTTCTTAACAAGTGCTACATGGTCATTTTTCCAAGAACTACTAAACATATAAGCTAGGTTTTGAAAATATTAGGTGATCAGCAGCCCGTTGCCTCTCTGGATACTGATCGGAGACGATAGCTGAATTTGAAAAGGAATAGTTGTAATTTAAGCAGTAAAAGTAGGGAGGAAACCCAGTGGATTTCTACGGAGAGAATAGAGGGTAGAGTGTTGATTTTAAAGCAGTTGTATCGGGCTTGGTGTTTTCCTCTTTTACCCCTGTCTTCATGTCTTTGGAACAAGGAGACGAGTTGGACAAGGACATGTTTCACTAGGTTGGGATAAATAAGGGAGTGGGAACAAATATAATGATTTATGCATGTTTTGGAGACTTGTTTTTCTCCTCAGAAGCCGATAGTGTCAATTCGTCAAGAGGTTTGCATATACTGGCTCTCATTCGCCTATATGGTACATTCAAAAAAACATGCATTGAATAGTCTTCAAAGTGGTAGTCCATTGAAAATTATTGAAAGTTAATAACATTTCTTTAGTGAAACGGAATTTTTAGCCCGTTATACCCCTCTTTTCACACAATTTTGGTCGTGTGTCCGGCCAAATTGATGCAAGGAAAAAGTTGTGGCTCAGGAAACATATTTAGCATACTTCACAGCCAATCGCGGTTGCAAAGTATTCCCTCTCGGTTTGGTGAAAGAACTCACGAATTGGCGTAATGTAAATAGGATGCCTTTTTTATATTGAATGCGACAAATCGAGTGCCAAGTACACGACAAGGCCTTTGGCGAAGTGTAATAGCAAATGTGTGTTTGTTTGGCACAGGGGCATTTAGGAAGACGATAAATACAGTTGCAATGGAGCCAAAGGGGCTCAGTTCAGAGGTGAGGGGCTGGACCGTTCACCTTAAGCGTCAGCTATGCGTTAGAAGGAGAACCAATCAGAAAAAAGCTTTCTGGTTTGCAAGCCTGGCTTATTCTTGTTCAGGGTCACTCCATGCGTTAAAACATGTTTCTGGTGGACTTTTAAGGGCAAAAGTTTGTGGGAAGGCATATTTTGAGAGGCTGTTCTTCTTCTTTACGATACAATTTATTTTTATTTCTCCCTCATACTGATATAATTCCACCACTTGGGAA